TATGGTGGGGGGAAATTTGTGGAATTTAAACCCCACCCATCTTATAGTGGCCAAGGTTGACAAACACTGATTTAGAGATTATGCAAAGTTGATTTTAGACCCAGTTAATATTGTGCATTGGTTTCACTGCTAGTCTGCACTGATGGAGCACAGCAAGAGGTTGAATGTCAGTTTAGTTACCTTTAGAGTTGACCTATTGGAAACAGTGGGATTTAATAATCGTGGCTAATTTCTTCCCATTCATTCTAATATCTCTTAAATCTCCTTGTTCTAGATTTATTTATTTATTTATTTATAAATAATTCAGACTTCTATGGTTGCCCATTCTTACATGATACAGAGTAGCTTGGAGTTAGATTTGGCCCTAATCTGAAAACAGTGTCCCCTTTTTCTCCTTGGCCGCTGTTTCATAGGACTGTATCCTCCAACAAGTGGACAGGCATACATCAATGGCTATGAAATCTCCCAGGACATGGTTCTCATCCGAAAAAGTCTAGGTCTTTGTCCTCAGCATGATGTCCTCTTTGACCACATGACGGTAGAAGAGCATCTTTACTTCTACTCTGGGGTAATCTTTGATCAATGTTTACTGAATTTCTGTAGTCTCTGCCTTCTGGGATCCACTCATTACCCCAGATGCAGCCTGCAGAAGTTGTATGGTTACAAGATATTTATGATGTGGCATGACTGGACTGCAGACATGTAACTGTTTTTGCACTGTAAAGGTTGTCAATCTTTTCTAAGCCCAGATGCCACTTGTCCATTTTGTCCAAACTAGGAGAAATGTGTTTATTTACTTATTTGCCATTTCCCAAAGTATAAATAGTGGTCACCCAGCAACCAAAGTATGGGCCAGTTTTGGGGGGCCTTTCTAAATGAAAGAAGTTTCAGAACGAGCCATACTGCTAGTGGGAAAATATTCTGGAAGGTGAGGGTCAATGGATCTCCTGAGGGACCAGGATTTCCAATAGCTTTTTCTAGAGGACTGGCCTAGATGGGCATAATCATGTTTGGTCAAGTGGTCTGAATTCGTATGGACCTGAGATGTGCCGGATTTTGCATAATTTGGGAGCAAGGTCACAAGAGTGCAGGAGATTTCAGGACCCTGAAGAGAGGCTTCTGGAAGATGGTGGCAGGCAGCTTGTGGTCACAATCGCTGCGTTGCCAGCCCTACTGTGTAGAATGGGCACTGATATACATTCTTGAGCAACGGCAATGATTACAAGATGAATACTGTACAGATTCGAGCTAGAACGGACTAAGAATTCCTCTGCTTATTTGAGCCATGAATATATTTGTGAGGGTCCTCTTGTGCCTGTAAGGCAATGACATGCTGTCATTGACCTATTAAAGTGTGGACTATTTATTTATTTGTCCCTCTTCAGAGGAACTTGCTCTTTGAATGAAGTGAAAGTGCAATAACAGCATCGATAGAATCATAATGCCAGATCCAGGCCTAAGACCTTTTTCTTTCTGTTCCACCTCAGCTGAAAGGGTTCCTTGCTGAAAAATGCCCAGGGGAGATCACCCATATCCTGCACATCCTCAACTTACAAGACAAACGTGGGACTTTGTCGAAGGCGCTCTCTGGAGGGATGAAACGCAAGCTCTCTATTGCCATTGCTCTCATTGGGGACTCCAAGGTGAGTCTGGGTTGAGTCTCTTCTTTTCATTCTTGTACTTCTGTGCAAGTGGTTCTGAGATGGTCTGTTGGTCTTGGTGCCTTGAAGAGTGGGTGGGGACTGAGGCTTTCTTTCCCCATTGTAGAAGAGGACGTGGAAAGGTTGAGTATCTCCACCACCTTGAGTTGGAACAAAGGAAGGCACTGTTTTTCCATCAAGGTCCCTCTTCATTTAAAATTTAAATGAAGGATCAGGAAACCCCATTGGTTATTTTTTTATGGTCCTTGCACCCTGCCTTTTTGGCAAGTTGAAAGTGGTATCCATCTGGGTCTCCCAACATTTTCCCATATTACAGCAACCTTGTGCACCAGACAGGACTAAGAGTGAGTCATTAGACTGAGCGGAGCTCTGTGGCTCTGTGGCTGAGCAGGGACTTCCTCTCTGATCCTAGCCCAACTCCCTAATACACTTACACCACCCCAGTTCTCTTCCTGAGACCCCAGAAACTGGCTTCCAGTCACAGTAGGCCAACTAGATTGCACCCAACTCCCATATTCCCCAACCTACCTGTTCTCTGCATTGAGCAGGTGGTGATGCTGGATGAACCTACCTCAGGCATGGACCCCGTTTCACGACGAGCCACTTGGGAGCTCTTGCAGCAGCAGAGGAGAACCCGCACCATCCTCCTCACCACCCACTTCATGGATGAGGCAGACCTGCTGGGTGACCGCATTGCCATTATGGCCAAGGGAGAGCTCCAGTGCTGTGGATCATCCCTCTTTCTCAAGCATAAATATGGTGAGGAGATCCCTCCCGGGCCCACCTCTGGCTCTTGAGGAGAAGCCATCTGCACTGCAACAGAGCTGCCTTGGGTGGCCTGAATAAAGACAGACATGAGCTCCTGTCTTAATTTATTTCTTACTTATTGATTACATTTCTATGCTGCATTTCATCTAAGAAGCTCCAGTTGGGGCACTCTGGCTCTCTACTCTATGATTGAAGAACACTGACAGGCCCAGAGTCATACCCAAGGTCAAACTGAATCCCGAGTCTGGGGCTTCACAGATTAGGGTTAGGATTAGGAGAACCACTACCCCTCACTAAAAAAGTAAGTTCTCCTTCAAACTGAATTCAGCTCTTGGTGATTTTAAGGAACTTTCCATGTAGTTTTCTTAGTAACAGTATGGAAGTAGTTTCCCATTGCTTTCTTCCAGAAAGTTTGACTTCCAAGTCTATCCCTCAGCTCTGGGATATTAACCACGTCCAAGCCTGATTATCTTTTCCAAGATCAACCAAGGTTGGCTGAGTGTGGCCATCTTTTCAGATTAGCTCTCTTTTAATGAGGACATACAAGCAGGGATGATCCCACAAAACCACCCGGTGCTCCTAGGTCAATATCTTCTTTCCTTTCCAGGTGCTGGGTACCACATGGTGATGGTGAAAGAGCCCTGTTGCAACCTTGGAGAGATCTCCCGCCTCATCTACCATTACGTCCCCAACGCCTCTCTTGAAAGCAATGTGGGAGCAGAGTTGTCCTTCATCCTTCCCAAGGAGAGTACACACAAGTAATCTCACCCTTAATAACTATGGGGGATGCACTAGTGGGGTCCAACTTTGCCACAGCATCAAGACTACATCGCTCAAAGGCTGGATGGAAATGATGGGAGTTGGATCCAACCCACCTGGAGAGCATTGGGTTGAAGAAAGCTATCTTAGAGAATAATGCATTGGCAGTGTATACCTTTGGCTTGCATGATGTGCTTAACCATGATTGATACATTTAACTCCATGCACTTAACCACATCATAACCATACCACACCTGATCATGGTTATTCCAATCATGGGTTAACTCGATTTAACCCAATTTTGCATTGATACACTGCCCTGAACAGTGAAGCTGGGTGTGCAGACTGTGTTAGTCTTAAATGGGATTTGCTCACATGGATTGTCATACGTTGTGTGAACAAACACAGCCATAGCCATAGAACTGAGTTTCCCAAGCTTTTGAACCTGGTGGGCAGGGTTGGACTTTGATAAACAAATCATAGCTTCTCCCACAATAGCTAAAAAGAATTTTAAACCATCTGTTTACCTACACCCCCCCCCACACACACCCAATCCAGCATTTCCCAATTACTCAATTTTGGTCTTTTTTGACAGAGGGAGCCAATTCCAAATAAATTATCACTCTCTCCCCTTTTATTTTCTGAGACCTTTAGGACCTGTCTTGTAAATAAAGATGGTAGTAAAGGCTATGATTTATTTCTCAGCACACCTTCTCCTATAATTTCTTATCATATTTAAATGCTATAATTAGTACAGGTAGTCCTTGCTTAATGATCACAACAGGGGCCGGAAAATTGGTTGTTAAGTGGGGTGGTTGTTAAACAAATCAGACCCAATTTTATGATCTTTTTTGCAGCGGTCATTAAGCAAATCACCATGCTTGTTAAGCAAATCGTGCAGTCGTTAAGCAAATCATGTGGTTCCCCATTGTTTTTGCTTGCTGGAAACCAGCTGGGAAGTTTGCAAGTGGCGATCATGTGACCCTGGGACACTGCAACCATCATAAGCGCAAGCTGGTTGCCAAGCACCTGGATCGTGATCACATGACTGCAGGGATGCTGGGATGGTCATAACTTTGGGCACCAGTTGTAAATCACTTTTTTTTAGCACCGTTGTAACTTTGAATGGTCACTAAATGAATGGTTGTTAAATGAGGACTACCTGTAAAAGAACCTTTTAAAAAGAAAATCATTCAGACTGACATGAAGGGAGCTATCCAAGGGCATCTCGAAATCTAGATGTTGCTATGAATGTGGCCTGAATTCAAGTCTTCTCACCTACTTTTCCTTCCAGATTTGAGGCTCTGTTCACAGAGCTGGAGTTACGCCGGGAAGAACTGGGCATTGCCAGTTATGGAGCCTCAGTTACTACAATGGAGGAGGTCTTCCTTAGGTAAGTCTTTGAGAACATTGGTGAGCTTGACAGGTGAGCTTGGAAGGTGAGCTTGGGTTGGCCCTTCTTAGAAGATCACCTCCCATTGGCTTGTTAGGAGATAAAATGGGAGGAACTGGGGAGTGGGGGTAAGTAACATTCTGTGTTCCTGGGAAGAGTCATTCCCAATGTGGGCACCTACAGCTTGTATGGACCTCATTTTCAGAATTCCCCAGTTAGCTGTCTTGAGGATGGCTTGATTAAAACAATATAGAGAAAGATAAATAAGGGAAGGTTAGACTCAGGGAAATATGTGCTTTGTTAAAGGGGTTAAAAAATTGTCTGGTGTAGATTGGAGGCTGCAAACATTGCAAGAAAAGAAGGCTGTGTATGGGACAGATTTACTTCTTGTGCTAAGGCATCATGTGGTTTGCATGTTTGCATCAGAATACATCGCTTGGACCCGTGTATTGTGGGTTATGAGTTATAGTATGATATGGGAATGCAAGTCTGTTTAAGAAATCATGCTTCAGCAAAGGAGGACTATGGTTATTTCTTCTTCTTAATGGATTCTCTCCAACCAAGAAAAACAGAAGATGCTATGGGAAAGCCTAGGAGAACTCTAGATGGAGCACAGCAATGCATGGACTTTGTGCAATTGCACAAAGGAATGCTTCTTTGGGAAGCAGCCAGTGCTCCCCAAAGAAAAGCTAACATAATAATTTCAATTAATTAATTAATTAATTAATTTTTAAAACTTGGGCTCTCTTCCTCTTCCCCAACATCTCCAGTTGTTACAGAGAGTCGGCAGACTGTAACGGACAGTGAACCCCCAGATAATCTCAGATCTGAAACCTGTCCTCTGGTATCAAGTGGCTGATTTTGTTTCTTCTTTCTTGCCCAAACATGCCCATCTCTCACCTTGGGTTGACTTTTTTTCTAGAAAGAGAATGGGGTAGTTCCTAATCAACATGAGAATCAGCCTTACTGGAAAAACAGCTGTTTCAAAAAGATCAGATGTGCAAGCAGGTTTCCACAAAGCATGTTGTTTCAACCACCAGGCATGTGCCGGTGTAGATGTTGTGGAACTGCTGTTGGCCTCTCTGAACCTTTAACAGAAATGTCAAAGACAGTTCAAAGGTCTTTGTGGCCACGAGGTCAAGAAAGCTGGCATCATTCCCTTTTTAATTTCTTTTCCTGAAGGGAAATGTGCTATAACTTTATTTTAAAAACCACAACCAGCCATTAGGTGGCATCATTTTAAAGTCATAGTAGAAGGATAGATAATTTCTTTTCAAGGTTTGGTCCCCAGCATCTCCACAAAAGTTGAGAAAGTTCTGGCCTGAAACTCTAATCCAGCTCCTGATTGTCAGTGTCAAAATTGTGGAGTCCTTGGTGTTCTCTGAGCCTGGTTGCTTGCTTGCACTGATGATGTTACCTACTTGGATGATGAAATGTGTGCAAGCCAACAACCAAGCTCAGAGAGCACCAAGGACTCCACAGTTCAACTCTGAGCTACAGATAGTCTCTTCTCTTGGAGGGTCAACACTATCAAGCTACATAGAGCAGTTGTCCATCTTATTACTGAGCTACAAGTGTAATAAGACCCCTGTTTTGGATGCAGAAAGTGGAGGTCTTAGGTTCCACCTCCAGTATCTCCAGGTAAGGTTGGAAGAACTCTGGATTGGAAGCCCAGAGAGCTGCTGTCTCCTCAACACTGTGGGGGAAAGGGGCCAAAGATCTAAGTTGGCGGATAGCAGCGTCCTTGGTCCTTCAATGGATGTGGTCTCTCTCTTGAAGAGTTGGCAAGCTCGTGGATTCCAGCATGGACATCCAAGCTACCCAGTTGCCTGCTTTGCAGTACCAGCATGAACGGCGATCCAATGATTGGGCCATGGATGATTCCAGCAGCCTGAGTGGGTTGACCAGCATGACAGAAGACAACGGGGCTCTCATCACAGAAGATTGCTCCAATATTAAGCTGAACACAGGGGTGGGTTCTAATACGTGTTCCCCTTTGGTTGTGGGTTGTGGGTTTTTTTGGTGGAGGGAAAAACAAAGGGAATATTTGCACAAGGCCCCAAATTTAGAGGAGTATGGTTCAGTATTTGAACCAATCAGATGGATAGATACTGTCCACTGCCAGCAATACAACTAATTATTTAAAATAGGTGGGTAACCCTCAGGCTATGCATAGCCCCTACTCATTCTGATACCCTCCAGAGCCCCTACCTGGAATCAGCTGAAATTTGGCAGCCTAGTATATTTGTAGCTTTGGGGAGGCTTTCTTTGGCCAAAGAAAGAAGTTTATGAATTCTTCTCCTTATTTACGTTAAACTCCTACTGCCCCACTTTGGAGTCTACTAAGAACTTTTTCCTGGGTGGTTCTAGCCATCTGGAATAAAGCCTTCGCAGAAAAGTCACTCTCTTGCATAACCCATTTTTTCCCTATCCTATCCTTTCTCATCCTCTGGCCTGTAGTTCTATCTCTGTTGCCAGCAATTTTACGCCATGTTTATGAAGAGGGCTGTCTACAGCTGGCGCAACTGGAAGATGGTGGCCGCGCAGTTCTTGGTGCCTCTTATTTTCACTGCTTTCGCCTTGATTGTCGCCAAGACCTTCCCGGGGCCTCAAGACTCTCCACTGTTGAAGCTGACCTTAAATCCATATGGCCAGACCACTGTGCCTTTCTCCATCTCCCAAGGGTCCAGTTTGGGCGAGCGGCTGGCAGCACAGTACAAGGATGTGGTTGGTGCTCAGCGCCAAGGGGCATTGGAGGTGGTAGGTCAGTGGCAATCGAAAGCTTTCCTTTTAGAGCAGAACTTAGAAGATGGGGTCCCTTATGCTCATAAGCCCACATCATTGCTTGATTGCTATCAACCCTTCTAGGTAGACCAGACCAGGAAATCATCTCCACAGGAAGGCTAAAACCACTTTTATTGTGATTGACTAGAATAACAGAATTGAGTCTGAATATGCTGGACCTCTTCCCCCTCTTATACTCCAGTGAATTAGGGAGATGTCTGTCTACGCACTTCTGAATTTTGGCTCTTTGTTCTGGGCTTAAAGAATGCTTCAGCCCCTTCGGCGGAGGCTGTGGTTCCCGCCTATTTTCATCAAGGTCATCTTCCTTACCCTCTACAGTTACTTGCAAATAAAGTCTATGAGCAAGAAGGAAGTGGGGAGTTTCAACCAACTCAGTTTTACGGACCACTGCTCAGCAGATTTGGACGCAGCTGAAGAGCTCTGAATTTGGGTCACTTGGCCAAATAACAGATTTTCCCACTATTTGACAAATTGGTTGAGACAATGTTCATACATATGATGCAATTTACATAAAATGTATCTAAATTATGTAAAAATTACATTAAATATAATTATATACATTAGTTTAATTCAGACTTAATAGACATTCAGCTTGAATAGACATCCCTTCTCACCTCTTAGTCTGTAAAATCAGGATGTTACTGTAAATCCTTTGTAAGGGTTTTACTGGCTGGTTCATACCATGCCATGCTTTGGCATAGTCTTCAGATCGCTGCATCCATCAGTTTCTTGAAAATTCCATCTTTTTTCTAGTCCTCATGGTTATAAATTCCTGAAAATCCCTCCATAAAAAGTTTCTAGCCTTCAAAGTTAGAGTTTGTAGGCCTCGTGGTTCTCCAACAAGGTGGCGCTAATGGCTGAGGTGGTGTGATAGAATGGAATTATGAAGGCCAAGCTCAGGGAGATAAGCATTTTCTTAGCTCACCGGAACTGC